TGGATTAATTTTGAACCATTTTAATTGGACTTCTTCAATGGAATTATTAACAGTGAATAGTTTTAAATTAATTTAAAACTAAAATGTATTATAATTACAGTTAATGTACATGATGTAGTGGATTCCAGCATGTCTATTATATTAACTTAATAAAGCTTTATACTTTCATATGTTATCTGCATGGTGGGGGGTGGGTGGTTGTGCAGAAAATTTCAGGGGGGGGGAAAGGTGAGTGAGGGGCATGTAGCCACAGAATAAGGCACACAGAAGGTCGACTCGAGTAACCACTGCCACACCATGATTCATCATCAAAATGCTGACGCCATGGTCCTAGCCAGTGCGCGTTTAAGAGGCATTCCCCCCTGGACGTTCGCCATTTTGAATAATATCAGGGGGTGAATGCTTCTCAAACGCGCACTGGCTAGGACCATGGCGTTAGCATTTGATGACGAATTACAGGTTACGCCTAAATCATAGGAAAACCCAAGAAGTCGGCCTTCTGTGTACCTTATTCTGTGACGTAGCATCCTGAGGAAGATTAACCAAAACACAATATACCAGACAAATATAAAAATATTATGTCATTTGTAATACAATGTTATGAATTGGATTGATCATGTATTACATATGCACATCAGCCTTTACACATGTAAAAAGAATATATTTGTTTATGTTCGCACAACACCCTTTTCTTTTCGCAGTTAGGAAATATGGCTGCCAAAGCTCTTGAAAGGTGGCTTTTTACACTAAGATCATCAGTAACAACATCCTCTTGTTTAAGTCTCAACCCATTTGTTTTGATGCATATAGTCTTTAAAGAGCCCTGAAGATCTCCAGGAACAAATGTGCCAACATCACCTGCACATTCAAACAAGTGACTTATTAAAAATACAAGTTCCAACCTTGAACAACTTTCCTGCATTTAGTTCTTGGTAATCCCGGACTCTTAGAATCTGGTGTTAGGTCGTGTTTGACGTCAAATGGCAGTAACTTTCTCGTTTTAGGAGTTCTAGGAGTGCTGGTCTTAGGACATTCATCTGAATTTATGGAATTGAAGTCTATAGTTCAGAACGACAAAAATTACAACTTGAAACAAGGCAACATGGCGCTAATCAGCCGAGCGTATAATGAATTCCAGTTTCTTAATTTCTTTAGTATACGCAAATTTATGCTACGGCTCAAAGGGTCAACAAATTCAAGACATTCAAGTGGTAGAATGTATTATATTATCTTTTAGACTCACCATCTAAGTTCATCAGAGTCCGCCATTTTGAAGTACTCCAGACTTGACCAATTGAAGGCCGATATACTTGATAAAAATACGCACTTTGCAGAGACTACATCATAAAATGATCGATTTATGTATACCAATGTCAAAAAATCCAAAATTGAAGCATAAAATATTAGTTTGCAAGAAAAACAATTTTTTGCAAGAAAAATCACAGTAATCTGCCAGTCGCTAAATTTTCTTCTTTCGCCCTTGCCGTGAGCCTCTACGCGCCCACTTCTGGCCGTGCACCCGCTCTTAAAGCGACTGGGGACGAGTCTGGCCCTGTATGGCGTTACTTTACATGTGGATATGATGAAATGCGCTTTACATCAAGTATTACGCTTACCTAATTACATACTGAGCCTATATTATTTTAGCTTTACAACAATTGTGATATTACTTTCTTAACGGCTATTACTTATAACAAGGAATGGGGAATCGGGGAAAGGAATCGGGGAACGGGGAATGGGGAATGGGGAATGCTAAAACCCGGAATACTAAAATGGGGAATCTCTAAAACCCGGAATACTAAAATGGGGAATCTCTAAAACCCGGAATACTAAAATGGGGAATCTCCAAAACCCGGAATACTAAAATGGGGAATCTCTAAAACCCGGAATACTAAAAGCCGGAATCTCTAAAACCCGGAATACTAAAATGGGGAATCTCTAAAACCCGGAATACTAAAATGGGAATCTCTAAAACCCGGAATACTAAAAGCCGGAATCTCTAAAACCCGGAATACTAAAATGGGGAATCTCTAAAACCCGGAATACTAAAAGCCGGAATCTCTAAAACCCGGAATACTAAAATGGGGAATCTCTAAAACCCGGAATACTAAAATGGGGAATCTCTAAAACCCGGAATAGTAAAAGCCGGAATCTCTAAAACCCGGAATACTAAAATGGGGAATCTCTAAAACCCAGAATATTAAAATGGGGAATCTCTAAAACCAGGGATCATTGTAAAAGCCGGAATCTCTAAAACCCGGAATACTATAAAATGGGGAATCTCTAAAACCCAAACATAGCGACATCAAACCAAGAAGTGTATTAGTCTCCAACACCCACATGGCAAATCCAGGGGCGGCGCTAACCCTCTTCGAGTGGGGGGGGTGTGCGAGTGATCTTTTGCCGACTGTTGTTTGGTAATTTTGCCGAGTCATTAGCCTATAGTAAGGGTCCTGAAGGGGGGGGGGTCCCAATCCCATTTTCCACCTGAAATTTTGGCAAAATCCCAGTCCCAGTTGGATTTTTATTAGAAATCCCAGTCCGAGTTATTGAAATCCCAGTCAATAAAAACCCCTTTATTTATTGGTAGAATAAACAGTTTTAAGACCTTTTAAGCCACCGTGTGTGCAAGTGGCGGACATTTTATGAAATATTAGGGGGAAGGCTAAGAAGAATTTTTAAATTTGAATTTTTAAATTTGAATCCCGGAAATGGCATTTGCATCATTCTGAGACACGCATAATCAGAAAACCCAAAATTCCTGTCGGCATCCATTTTGCAGCCCTCGAAAAGTCAAAATCTCGGCATTAGCGCCGCCCCTGAGCCTTTCTGTACGTTGGATTAAAGTCACAGTTTGTGGTGTCCAGATTGGGTAGCTTTGTCACACTTGGATCGTACGTTGGTCGGTTTAGTGCACTGATAGTCAACATGTTTGGACCAAGTTAAGGTCAGATGATGTTAAAACTCCACAAACACGCTCACAGTTCGTGCTTTCTAAGATGGTATCATGTAGCTAGCTTATAGTTATATGGGTAGAAGATTTTATTGTGCTTGACTCTCAACACTTTGCATTTGCTTGCGTTTAATGCCAGGTTAACGCTATTATTATTATTATTATTATTATTATTATTATTATTATTATTAAAACATCTTTATACACGGTAGCTAATCAACTATAAAATATTTACAAGGTTTCGTTGCTTTTCATTAGGCCGTGTAGTAATACAAACAGTATAAGAAACTCCCAACCACCCTCTCCAGATAATATCAATAAAATATTCAAACTCAAACCCATGCACTCAAATAAGATCGAAAAAAGGTAGTTCAAGAGTTTTTGTTTCTTTCATTCCAAACTTTGGCAGCAGCATAACCGAAAGTACGTTTCATTGAATTTGTTTTTGACTTCGACAACATTATTATTATTGCTCCTTAATTCATATCTTACAGAGTTGGATCATTTAGGCTATATTTACATTGTATCGGATCAGTTTTTGTTTCGTTCGCGAAAAGTTACGGTCCAAGTGTAAACAGCTTCCGCCCCGCCCATCTATGCCGTCGTATTTTCTTCTATATATTATTAGAATAGTAAGTTGGTGTTTGCCAGATTCCATCTTGAGTCACGCATTGAACCGAAATTGCTCCGATAGGTGTTTACATTACAATGAGAACGTTGCAAAAACCGATCCGATACACCGCGCACCACTTCGAAGAGCGAACCGCCGCACCACCGGTTCGTTGCAGAAATTGAGACGATAACAACATTTTATATGTAAACAGAAGCCCTATCCGGTATGGTTTTTGCGTCTTGGGGCATTGGCATGTAAGAACTTTTGATACATATTTTAGTTGTTGCTCCTTCCTTCTTTCGCTTAACGTTTTCCATTCTAGTTTCTTTAAAATATCAATCGAGCGTATTTCATATGGGTCTCCAGTAATAACTCTTGCATTTTCTCATAAATCTGGCGAATTTCCTTGATTTTTCCTAGCATTTGCCCTTATTTCCATGGTTTTCTAGAATTTTTTATGGGGGGGGGGGGCAGTTGCCCTCCCTGCCACCCTGTCTCGTACGTCTTTGCGTATCAATCTCCATCTTTCAAGATATTACGCGTCAGATATAGCTTTATACTGCTACAAAGACACTTTTTAGAAAATTTTCACGGCAGTACTATAAATACATTTTTAATGAATTTTAATTTTTTTTGGAGTCCTTTACAAATATCTTTTGGGCCTTCTATGGGTTTACTTCTGGATAAATTTGTTTTTCATCTGTATCCGTGCTTGTTTACAACTAGGGATCCAAGGATAGTGCAATGTTTCTGAAAGCTTGAAAAGTCATTGCGGAAATATCAAATTTTTCAAACATATTGTTCATAGTTTTGCAGTTAATTTGACGCGGTTCGCGTTTAATTATAAATTTTGTTGTAAATTACCAGTACGCTTGAAGTAGACGAAATTTGGAACTTTTAGATGAACTTTTGAACATATTACAGCCATTTTGGTCCAACCATACCACAAATCGCAAAAATTTCCGAGCTTTGTTTACGTTTCACGGTTTGTGACACAGCTAACAGTAGCTTGCCGGAAGCTACATTTTTAATTAATGTCGTACATTTGTCGTACATGGATGTCTCAATTGCTTATATACATAACACAGTAATCAGTATCAAAAAATTAGTTTTGTCGATATCCCTGTATATTATTTTGTAGCATCTCAATTTATTTAATATACAGAACGCAGACAAGTTTATACTTACGATAAGATTGGGCCGAAATTTCGGCCACATCACGCATTAATTGCCAAAACAGTAAATTTGCCAACTTGGCAACTTTTTATAAACGTAAACATTGCCATCGACATTGACATTGTATTCAAGTAAATGTATCAATACGATGACCTACGAATTGTACCTAAGACATAATAACTTTTAATCTTGAATTCAAATAAATTTATTGAAACAAAGGCTTTGTTATTAAAAGCTAGTATATCTCGATTATAGTATTATGCCAACAGCAAACTTCGCGCTTGTTATTATCCTTTTACTTCAATTACGGCACAAAAACCAAATATCACTCATACATTCATGCAATGATGCAAGTCATATATTACTATCCATATCAATAAAACTTATTGCGGCTGCCTGCATGTGCACAGGCTACAATATGCGGGCCTTGAATAAATGAATAATCAAAACAATATTAAAAAAAATTCTGTCAAATTCTGCGACACCTATTGTGTATTGATTGTATACCGTCTGTTCACAGACTCATATACAGCACGTAAATTATATT